TCTAAGTTATACCAATAGTATATTTAGTTAAAGATTGTACAGAACCCGACAAACATTGATGACCTAGAGGTGGCACTGATATATATATATATATATATATATATATATATATATATATATATATATTATAATAAATTACAGGAAAAACATTTTACATCGCTACACAAAAACTTTCATGTTTCAGTACTAAGATTGTATTTCCTCAGAAGATGATATATAACTTGTGATAACGATTTATTAGGGAAATTTTAAAACAAATTGTTACCACTTTTCGAAAGGTGGGGCCACAATTTTAACTTCCGAAAAGAGGTAACGATTTGTTTTTAAATTTCCCTAATAAATCATTACTTTGTATTGAACACTTTTTAAAAAAAAAGTAAATGCTACGAACTGCGGATCCGGATTTTTACTCCATCTGTTCTCGTTCTCTCTCTCTCTCTATATATATATATATATATATATATATATTAAGAAATGGACAAGGTCCGACAATTTATTTATTAAAGACATTTTTTATGTTTAACGTTGTTATTTATAGATACAAGTATTTAAGCAAATGCTCTGTTTATGATAAACAGTATTAAATAACATTACCGGCCTGAATGTCCGAGAAATTTTCATAGAAAATATTCGTTCTTTGACAGGATTCGAACCTGCATCCTATACGGAACCGTCATTTACGCTGACGTGCCTTACCTCTGGGCCACAAAGAACCTTTTTAAGAAGTTTATTAAATTCGACCTTGTCTACCGAAAAGGTTCTTTGTGGCCCAAATTCGACCTTGTCTACCGAAAACGAATATTTTCTGAGATCGGACATTCAGGCCGGTAAAGTTATTTAATACTGTTTATCATAAACAGAGTAAATTTCTTAAATACTTTTATCTATAAATAACAACGTTAAACATAAAAAATGTCTTTAATAAATATATATATATATATATATATATATGAATATTGATCAATTCATCCCAAATAAGGCAACAAAACCAAGATGCAGTGAAAAGTCTGAGAAAAAATACTTTATTAAATAGCAAAAGAAGAGAAATTAAGAAGATAGAACATAAGGATTGACATTGCATTACATTTTTAAAAATCAAACTTGAGTTGAAGAAAAGAAACAAAACGAGAATTCCACAAGAGAGAAGTGCGAGAAAAGAAACTTATTACCTCTAGCCATTTCAGCTATAAAATAAGTTGTTGCTGCCAATCTAGTACGGCAATTGATATAGCCTAGCTACCATAGAGGAAAGCTCATCAGAATGAAAGTATTTATAGAAAAGGCACAGCGAAAATATATTACGGCGGTTGGAATGTTAACAGAAACCGAGATGCCAGGTTCTTTAGATTTAATCAAGGATCTATGAATATTAAACAGGAACACCAGACGATATGGGACAGCAATATTCTCGGCATGGACCAATGATAAACATGTAAATATGTAAGATAGATTATGTTCAGAAAAACTGTCTAACCCGTTACAGTGAACGAACTTTCCTAGCAGAAGACCTAGCAATTGATTCAGTATAATCTTTACACTTCATGCCAGTGGAAAACAATAAACGGAGTCCTTCTCCGGGAGGTTAGCATCATCCATACTGATAGAAAGCAGAAAGTGTTCTCTCAAACGACTTCCGTGTATTGATGTTAAAGAATGAGAGAAATGTGCTATAGCAATTTAAATTTTATTTTATTTTCATTTCCCAAGTACTTTCGGTCTTTTTCCAAGATCATCTTCAGGGGTGCAAATAATACAAAACCATTCATTAACATAAATATTTATACAAAGTTGTGCGTTGTTATCCATTACCGTAATTTTTTCATTATGCTTTTAAATGCAAAAAGGTTGACAATGTGCTGAGCGTTCATTAAACTTATTTTTATGTATTACAGTAAGCTTCACCTGTACAAGGCCGGGGATCCACTCGATGTAGAGGTTTCTTTAAGGAGCAATTTATACGAATAGTAGGGGATGATAACGGTTAACATAAACATGTTAAGATTCTAGTGATCGAGGAAACATCTTAGGAGTGTTATATATATATATATATATATATATATATATATATATTGTTTGGAATTAATGAATGTGTTTGATTGTTGGAATGTCCTTTGCGAAATCGAAGCCCAGCCAATCTATGCTGTTGTCTTTGTGGTGTTATATTGTTTACTTTGCTTATTGCTTCATAAAAAAAAAAATATCCCAACATTTTTTTTTTTACTTTCATTCTAAATATTTTGAAAACGAGAATAAGGAATGATCATTTACAGAGACAAGTAGAATTAGTTCGAGATTACCGTCATATTTTTTTATTTTTATTTTAAAACATGAATCTCCTAAGATATAAACGTTTTGTACTAATTTTGAATAAATATATGTAAATTGGAGTATATAACCGTCCATCAGTCTGTTCATACGGGGGTCGTTCAAAAATGTATTAAACTTCACCCAGAAGAAATTGGGGAAACAAGACAGTTTTCCCTATTTTTCAATATAGTCCCGCAGTATAATGAGTGAGGTAGCAATTCAATGCTGTCTCAGTTACTGAACAGTGTGGACGAGCGCTTTATCCTGAAGCAAGAGCACACCTGCCATCAACTTCCTTCTTCATTGTTTCCTTCAGTTGTCTAAACTCTGGGGCATAGTACTTTTTTCCCCTTTTCTAGCTAGTCTGTCGTGATTATACCTTCAGAATCCCCCCCCCCAAAAAAAGAGAAGCCATCACCTTGCTAACAGACGCTGCCTGTGGGTGGAGAATCAAGGTGTTTCCCCTGCTTGCTTTGAATCTTTGATTCAGATTCGATGTGGTGAACCCAGGTTTACTAAACTACGGTGTAAATTTTCAGTGAGCACATCAGAAATGTCCTGGAAATGTCAACCCTATTCAGCTTTTGCTCTGGTGCCAACATTCTTGGGACCCAGCTGAAGACAGTTTGGTCAGCCCCAAGATCTCAGTGAAAATAGTATGGACCAAACCATAACTAACGCCTATGGATTTAGCCATTTTCTGGACCATAAGACATATGTCATCCAAAGCCATACGGTGCATATCATCGGCTTGTCCACTTCTTCACAGTTAGATAGGAAGGGAAGGCTTCAGTAAGTATCTGTACCATGTTCTCATCGATTTCCTTGGGTATCATACTTTTCTTTTGTAGATATGTTATGACAGCTAGGGCCTCTGTTTTGTCCATTTTTAGATTTGTCGCATAGCTCTCACCTGAAGAGAAATTAAGACAGAAATCTGAAATAGTTCATTTAGTTTTATAAGAAGTGGTAATGTGCTGCCACACACACACACACACACACACACACACACACACACACACACACACACACACACACACACACACACACACACACACACAAAAAAAAAAAAAAAAAAGTTCAGCTATGTCTCCTCTATTGCTTAATCGTGTATCATGTACATCCGGCGCTTTTAAACCAACGATAGTATAATTAGTGGCGTTCCGAATTCAAGGAGAGATGACGCGTCTATCCGTAATTTCATGATTGACAAAGTACCAGATTTTCTTTCCTCTTTTTCTCCATATCTCAGTCTCTGAGGAAGCTTTAATAAAAGTCCATAGATGTTAGATTGATAAACTTTTCCTGTTTGTTCTTTATCTTACCATTCTGTCGGATTACGATCCATATTTGAGCTATATTTCCAAGATTTCTCCTCGAGAATTCGACTATAGCGAGATTCGAAATTCGGGTCCCTGGTCGAAAATCAAACCTTCTAATCACGCCATCGTACGCCTGCATCCATACATAGGTGAGCTTGAATGTAAATCTCCCTATTTTATTCTGTTTTCTCATGTCGTTATAACAAATATTCGTCGTATGACAGATGAGCTTAAATCTTCCCGTTATTAAACTGCAATTAATTTTTACCTTATTGGTAAAAAGGAAGTGCTAACTTAGCCGAGGTATGCATGAAAATCTTCAACGAGATAAAAAATGCTCCATTTATCGAAACTTATTGAATGTCTGAGGAGGCCAGACAGTGAATAGCAGTATAGTTAGGTTTTGAATAAAGCATTTCAGGAGTGACGACAATGCAGATTTCAGGCATTCCAACATACAAAAAAAGTTGTTTTTTTTAATTTAAATTATTTTAATTATTTTAAATTTAAATATAACAAATTTTTGTTAACTAAGTACAAAGGAGGGATTTTTTAAATAAAAACCTATTTTCTGCAACATTGTAATTTTATAATCAGATCTATGTATCTGTATAGGTTCTACAAAAAAAAGATATAGCATTGTTTTTTTTATTTTATTTAAGCGCAGTACTCGACTGGCGTCGAGATCTCATCAATTTACAGTTGCGCTGGTTAGATGTGACCGTAACTTCTATGTTAACAGTTTCTTTTCTCGCACTTCTCGCTTGTGGAACTTCATTCCGGTTTCATGCTTTCTAGAGAATTTTAAAAGACAAAAATTTAAATGCAATATCAATCGCTATCTGCTGTCCTCTTGATTAATCTTTTCTCTTCCCGCTCATTATCAATGTTTCTGTTCCTAATTCTCCCACATCCTGTAACCCCTTGCATCTTAGTGGCTTTACTGCCTTATATAGAGTGATACCGATTTAAAAAATACTTTTAGATCTTGCATCGTATGCAGTAGATAAACATTTACGGATTCAATTGTTAACAAAAAATATTATCACCATATAAAATATTAAAAAAACTTTTAAAAAGATAAATTTATAACTTCTTCTGATAATTGTGCATGTTCGGATGGTATAAGCGACTCAAGAAGAGAAATCGGCCAAACGAGGTAGTTGCATTCACTTTCGCACTAATATCTTTGGAAAGAGTAAGAATCCATCTCTTTCTCCTCCAGCTATGGTTTTCTGATAACTGGAGAGGACATAAACTCTTGAAAAAATCATGAGATTTTATAAAAGACGCAAAACAATATTTTTCATGGATATTTATTTTTATTTATCTAATTTTTATATTTGGCGCACGTATATATTGATCATTTTACAGTCACATCACGTTGAAACACCAGTTTCCGTACAAACACTGAAGTTAAGCAATGTTGAGCCTGGTCAGTACCTAGATGGGTGACCGATTGGAAATACCAGATGCTGAAAACTTGGATGTGCGAGTGGTGTAATAGATAATGAAAGCGAGTTCTAATTTCAGTTATATTCACTAACCTTTGGAAAGGCATGAATCCACTTCTCCACCCAGGGATGGGTAAATCAGTAAGACTTGTATCACTGAAACCATTATTATCCAAGAATAAATAAAATTGTTTTCAAAATATTTAAATTTCGGCATTAAATATCCCATAGAGGATACATCATTGTGCAATTTAATTGAAACAACAGCTTTAATTTCCTTTCTTTCAACACACGGTCAGTTTTAGATCCACTATTTTTTCCCCTCGGATTAGGTCATTTGTAGTATTGTGCAGCAATATGAATCTATTTTCGGGGTGCATGATAAAATTTGTTTGGCCTTGAAAAATATTGCGTCATCCGTGATTGCATCAGATTTTTAACACACCCAGACACTATTGTCTGCAATGTTAATTAGTTGTCCTACGGTCATTGTCTGTAATAGGCGTTACTCCAAGGAAACGTAAGAAAATTGTAACGCTGCCCGAATAGACTGGCAAGTGAGCAAATCAAAATACTATCGACTGGTCTGGAAACTTTCCTGATTTAAATCCAATCGAGAATCTGTGATCAATCTGCAAGGAACGACTTCGTGGAATGTACATACGAAGTACTAACATGTGCACTGGCTCAGGTTTCATTGGAAATATACGAAAAAAAGTAAATAATAAGGGAATTATTCGTTTTGTTTCAATTAGTTTGCATAAGGGTGTAATTCGAGAAAACTGCACGGGAACAACATATCTACTGGCTTTATCAGTCATTATCAAATGTGGTTTGTAGCACTAGACATTTTGACATGTGTTCTTTGTACGTAATCTGAAAGAATAGTATCGCTAAGAGGAAAAGAATAACCATTGACTGAATCATATATTGAATTGAATGCATTGCGTTAGAATTATACAATTAAGTGGAAACCGTTTTATATCAGCACAGATTATTAAATACTAGCAGTAGAGCCCGGCGTTGCCCGGGGATGTAACAGTAAGAGATAGATCAAGTATCGACCCTCATAAAGACTGAAAAATAAAATTGACAAAGATTATTGTTTAAGGTTGACGGACGCATGTCTTAATTATTATTTTTTTTTTTTACGAATTGGTCAAACCCAAACTCAAACAAATCATTGTTTTCAATCGTTAAGAGTCTATCGATTGAATAGAATTTTATTATAAACAATTGTCTTGTAAATGGAATTTTTAAAGCATTCTGAATGTAAAAATAAAGTAAAAAGTGTGCAAGACAATAAGAAACACTACCTGCCCCCAAAAAGTGAAGTTTTGTTGAAATCGGTTGAAAAATGTAGGAAATCCGATCCCATATATAAACGAACACACACACACAAAGAACCAACCTGGGTTTTATAATAAGTATAACTTGATAACTCAATATTAATAAGTATAACTCGATATGAGTTGCCCCCCTTCCATTAATGCCTCTTAATTGCGTTTTCAATTTGATTTCGTGCAAAAACAATTGTGTTTTTCCAATTTTTGGCACTGTCAGAACCACCGCAAGGTAATTTTACGCAGTCCTGAGAAGTTTTGTTGAAATCAGTTGAAAAATGTAGGAAATCCGATCCAATATATAAACGTACACACACACACACACACACACACACAACCTGCGTTTTATAATAAGTAAGATTGCGTATGTTGCGTCTCTTTCTTTGTGCAGAGTGAGACTGAGTTGTGGCTCTGTCCGCTAACAAAGATGCAGCAGAAGAAATTAATACTGTGAGGTGCTCGGTCGGTTTAGGTGGGAGAGACAGCTGCCCGAACAGCTCCCTCTACATTGCACTAAAGGTGGGATCTGTAATGATACAGATGCCAGCGCAACCGGCGTTTGCGGGGGCTGGGTAATTTTTGTCGTTGGCCCGGGTGGTCGCGCTCGGGTTCACCACGTTAAACCCGACCTTGTGTTACATCTCATCTCAGTGGGAAAACCAGGGAAATATCCTTATTAATAAAACTTCTGCTTGCGTGTCCGTGCCAGGAGGCATTGATCTATCTTTTGATATGAAGTCAGGATATTATTTGAAATTACCATTAACGGGGGCAGTATTCACATTCTAACCAAATGAAGCAATTTTTAATAACATGAACTTGAGATATTGAAATCCTATTAAGTGTAAAAAGATATCTTCTAACTTCAAAAATGGCAGAGTAGACGAAGTTAGATACGACCACTGATATCAACGGATATCACTGAAGGTAGACTTTATTTGTGGTTTTTATGATTTGTATCGCAGCTAAACAATACAATTATTGGAAGTAAAATGGTGTATAAGTGTAACTTGCGCCAAAGGTCACCAAAAATCAAATTAGATAATTAACAATTTTTTTTATAATATTTACGTTCGGACTATTGCCCACATCTTTGTTGTTTTTAGCACAACGTCTCGGCTATTGAACCCCGGCCTTCCTCAGATGCATATTAATCTTGGTAACTTCCGGCTGTTTCTCACGTGTATATCGATCTGGATAACCCACATACCTCCTTCATTGGTGCATCACATCGGGTCCGTACCGATTCGATAATTTGGGCCTGAATTTGTTGGATTAGGAATCATTATTATTTACACAGTTTATATTTGGACTAAATTTTATTCCGAGCGAAACATTGTGATTAAAACAACAAAGTTGCGGGCAATAGTCCGAATATAAATTCCTGCATTGAAAGAGTCCAAAAGCGTCTCTGAGCTCTTATGGGTGACGAATTATTCTCCACCCTCCAACCTCTCTCCCACTGGCGGAATGTGGCTAGCCTACCGCTGTTTCCATGGAAAGTGCTCAGAAGAACCACATTCCCTTCCGGCAAGAACACGCCATGACACTTACATAGTAGCAAACCGCCCCACATTCCCTTCATATTCCATTGGTGAGAAGTAAGTTCTTCTCGAACAGCTTCTTTCTGCCAATCATAGCCCTGTGGAACCGGTAGGATGTTACCCCGATCACTACAATCTTAACCTGTCCAAAGTTAGGGTTAGCACTTATCTTCCACTCCTATACGCAGAAATGGTCTCCTAACGTATACCCCAGGGCCTAGTAAAGGCTGAACCTTGCTGTAAAAAACAAAAAACAAAAACAAAAAACAAATTCAGACAAAAATTAATATTTTTTTCTTGCAAGATACAAATATTGTCCAATTCTCTGTTAAGATCCAGATATTTTCCAGTTCCTTGGTAAAATTCGAATATTGTTTACTATGGAAAGATGCCGATTTTTTTTCTTTTTGTTGCTCAGAATAAAGCAAAAAGAAAACAAATACAAATAAAAACAGTATTACATATTTTTTATTTTGCAGCAATTATCAATAATTAATTTAAGTAACTTACATTATTTTGTACGTAACCCCCACCTCACACACACACTATTTTACCTTGTTATTTCACCTGTCTATTTTGCCCTACTCTAGCAAGTGAAAAAAAATGCAGAACATTAAGATGCGAAGAGCTGATTCCTTCGGGGAGTTGGGGAGGGACATTGCGTTTCTTCTAATGAATCAACTCGTCAGCTAGTTGAGCGCGAATGGAGACCTCAGCGCTAATCTCTGACTTGCTGATTTATTTCTGCGAGGTCCCTCTACGATTTCCCCCGATCAGAAGCGCAGACTTTGTGGCACCTTCTAATAGCTGGCATCATGACCTTCTACATCCTTATCCACCTCCCAAATATAAAAGAAAAAAAATCCTCTCCGTAATGGCGGACTTAATGTAGCATGCATGCAACATCTGAAAGCCGGTAGGACCCCCCCATTACCCCCATCATTGGCTTATTTTTTTAAAAAAGTTTTTACTCTTCTATTTTCTTTCAATTGCTTTTTTCTGTTTTGGTTCTCCTTATCTTGATTTGTCTTTAATACCTTCTGCATTTATTTTGTTTTCTGATCTGAGGAAATCTTTTCGTTTTCATTTCGCTTTTTGGCCTTTCCGCCTTCTATTCTTTCTAAACGCTTAATTCCATCTATATCTATTCTTTTCTTCTTTTTGTTTACCAATTGTCTTCACTCATTTTTTTTTATCTTTATTTTTTCATCCTTTCTTTTTTTTCTTTCTCTTTACTGCCTGTCTTTCTTTTTGTTTTCTTTTTCTTTTTGTCTGTCTTTCATTCTTTTCTCTGTCTTTCTTTCTTTTTTTTTGTCTGTCTTTCTTTCTTTTTTTTTGTCTGTCTGTCTTTCTTTTCTCTCTCTTTCTCTGCCATTCTTTCTTTCTTTTTTTTTAGCATTCTTTCTTTCTCTTTTTCTCTATATTTCTTTCACCTTTTTCTTTTATATTTCTTTCTTTCTTTATCTTTCTTATATCCTGATCCGTTTTTTCATTCTTTTCAGGTAACTCGCTCCTCCGCTCGTTCAACTTTTTCCGCTAACAACCTTATTTTCCCTGCTCTTTCATCAGTTCATTTTTATTCATTCGAACGCGCCATTTGACGCCACCCCAACCCAAAAAAGAAAAAAAATATTTAACTTATTCCTCCGACCATCTCTTAATTTCAAATCCGTCTTTTTTCTTTCTATTTAATAAAAAAATCCTTACTTACAATCGATTATTTCCGATCCTAGTATATGTACAAGAACATCGACTTTTGACTCCAGTAGTAATTCCGTTAAGATTTCACTCTCAAAGTCTGTTCATTATCTAAGCTGTCTAATCTATTCATTGATTTGGTTTTACCTTATGCTTGTCGATGCATACAACGTCCTCAAGTGGTGAAACAATATACTGTGGTTCAGCAGGAACGAAGAAGAATCGACATTGCAGCAACAAAAATAACACGATAAGCTACACATATAAGATATCCCATATGTAGCTAATATAATGAACACCTGACGATGGCCAAAGGCGGAAACTTCGTGTCTAGAATATCTGTAACAAAGATGAGAACAATAGCTAGAAAGATTCGAAGTATACTGTTAGCACAAAATAATGGTTTCTGTAAATAATGATAAAATTTTCGTGATGAGACACCATGCATGGTTCTCGTGGCTTTTCAACTTAAATGATTTGAGGTGTTAATATTCGTATGTTTTGTCTTGAGACAATGTTCTACTTGAAATATTTCGTTCAATACAACAGTAGTCTGACCGTAAACAGCTGTGTATGTCCCCAAATGATGATTCATGGTGCCTCTGTGTCCATGAACGAGAGTAGAAGTGAAACCGCATGGTCCGGTGTGTAGCGGACTATGTGTTTACGTGTTGTTAAATTAGGAACACGTGTGCAACTCCTGATAGAAGAGAGTCCACTACAAGAATATGGCGGACTCAAGTTGAGTCCAACCGAAGATGTAAAGAAAACAAACAAGACCGACATATATATATATATATATATATATATATATATATATATATATGGACTCTCCCGTCGGTTCCGACGTATGAGGATCTGGCAGCTTATTGTTATGAAAGTTTGTGCGATAATCTTAAGTGGCATTTAAGACCCGCTAATGATTTACAAAGGAGGCCAATTATGGAGCAAGTGTGAGGATTGTGAGATGAGATCACTGTTAGATTGGCTGACCTTTTAGATCGTGCTGTGTATTAAAGAAGATTTTCAATAGACAAATACATCAACATTTGCGTTTGTGCGTGAACGTAAAGAGTTTGTATTTTTATGAATGTTCGTACGTACGTGTATGTGTGTGTGTGTTTCATGGCGTTTTCACACAAGTGGGCAAAACGCAGATCTTTGCGAGAGATCACATTTTTTAAATGTGTCCGTTGAAATGCAAAGTAAAAAGAGAACGAGGCAAGAAATCGCCCAGTCTTTATAGTGTAGGGAGAGCGTGCCCTAATGAACAATTAAGAAATTAAGGTGGATTAAACTCCGACAGGTGAGATGAGGATTGTTTTTATTTTTAACCTTAAAGAATGAGACAACCAAGGAGACTTGGAAATTCCACCTTTGCTGTGAGAATGGAAAGTATGATTTCATGCCTCCTGTTAGATTTGACCTGCTAAAATTATTTGGCGGACTAGTGTGGGTTTGGGTAAAAAGTGCATGAAACATGGAATTTAAACAAGATCAGTTACATAAGGATAAAGAAAAAGACGAAACTGAATTTATGAACAGCTCAATACAATCTTTATTCTCTGAAGTACTTACATGTATTGTCTCTATGGAAGCAAACAGAAACGTGAGTTGCTTCTCCTAAAGTCAAAGGGAAAGAGGAAGAGCCTTTCAAATATCGTACCGTCTGTGATTGTGTGGGAGGCAGCGTTAATCCAACACCTCAATTGAAAACCGTCTTAACGATTGGGTTAATCGACTTGAACTCTCTAATTTTATCAAAATCTGATGCATATATCTGGCAATTAGTCTTTGTATATTTGTAACCTAGCGTCACTCGGTAATAATAATAAAAGTATAAAGAAGAAGGCGGAAATTTACAGGAAATATTATCTTTTGTGATTTTACTGTAAATTAAGACCTTTTTCATTGTCTGCTTTTAAATTCATAAATAGAGAAGATATAATTTAAAATTATTAAGTTTTTTCTTTACTTTCGTTACAAGAATATCATTTAATACGAGTTATATATATATATATATATATATATATATATATAGATAGATAGATAGATAGATAGAGCGAGAGAGAGGCTGTGGTGAATGCATTGTCGTCTAAATTAAGTAAAAGTGAAAATAACATTGACATTTCCTTTTAACAAATATATTTGCCAAAATTACACAAAAATATCTTGAAAGAATAAATTTATTCAATAAAATCGCCATTGACTTCAGGTACAACTTTGAAATCACCGGCAACTTTTCTGAACGGTCTCCTTATTTAAGTTGGTGAATACTGCCATAATCCTTAATTAGTTTTTAGGGGTTTTATCAATAAAAATTGTTTCGTGTCATTTTCTCTTTAACCAAATTACCTTGAAGATCCGTTTAGGTGAAACTTAGGTAGGCTGTTCCTGTTTATTTAGGATTTATTTTATATATATATATATATATATATAGCTTGATTAATCCCCCACATTCTCTCGTCTGTTACCCTTCTCTTTAGCTCTAACATTCGTCCCACACTCTCATACTTACACTCTCTCTAAATTTTATTTTTTATTTCCGGAATTGTTTTTTCTGTTTTCTTTTTGAATTTATAGGACTGATGAATTGGATCGTATTTACGATTCCAATGGAATAAATTATGACCATGGAATATTAGTGTTTAAGCCTTTTTATTATATCCTTACTCTGTCCTGGACATTGAGTTCTACCTGGATTCTATCCATTTGGAATTTTTTTTTATACAAAATATATATGTATGTGTATGCATGTATGTATATATATTTATATATTTTGCATATGTATATGTATATTTACCACTAATATTATCTATCTATCTATCTATCTATCTATCTATCTATCTATCTATATATATATATATATATATACAAGCATATTCTGCTTGCAAATTCCTTTGCTTCTTTCTGTTCTCTTTAACTTTTTCAAAACAAATGTCACATTTCTCTCGGCCATCATGATTGCTGTCAAATCGTTATTGGCAATGAATGCTGGACAATTTCCGCACACATGAAGAAGAGACATGGAACAAAAGATGTTGTTTTCCAAAGGATGCCATGGACGGAGCATGTGATCAACGAGTAAGTTTCAAGGAAAATGGTAATTCAAAGCCAACATATATTTACAATCAGAAAGAGTCTTTTCAAATTTTGTGGGCATATAATGAGGAAAGGGAGCTTAGAGTATTTGACACTTACAGGACATATCACAGACAAGAGGGATAGAGGGAAACAGCGTAGACCCTGTCAATTTATCTCGTATACATGTAAGGCAGAGTTGAAATTTGGAGAGTTAACAATGGAAGAAACATTACTTAGAATTGCAAAGCATAGGAAGTTGTGGAGATCCATGATCAACAAGGACAGGGAACATAAAAGACATGTTCATAATTTTTACCGAGACGTTTTCTTTTTCTTCTTCTCTCCTTAGAGCAGTGTTTAATCTTTGTGCTTCAGTCATTTTATTTGGGTTGCAAATCTTCCAAGTCATATTGTTTTTTTGTTTTTTTTTGATCTACATTCCATTTTCTTTCGTTTTAACATCTGATCCTCGTCTTAGCCATCTCTTTCTTTTCTTCCTTCTTTCTTTCCTTTTTCTTTTTTCTTCTTTTTCTCTTCATTATTTTCCTGTTTCTGTTTTTTTTTCTTTCTCTCTTCTTTCTTTTCCTTTTCTTTCTTATTTTTCTTTTTTCTTTCTTTTTTCGTTTCCTTTCTTTTTTCTTTCTCTCTACTTTTCTTTCTTCTTTCTTTCTTTTGCTTTTTCTTTCTTTCCTTTTTTCTTTTTTTCTTTCTTTTGCTTTTCTTTCTCTCTTCTTTCTTTTCCTTTTCTTTCTTTTATTTTGTCTTTCTTTTTCTTTTTCCTTTTTTCATTCTTTTCCTTTCGTTTTCTTTTTCTTCTTTTTTCTTTTCCTTTTCTTTTCCTTTTTTCTTTCTTTTTTCTTTCACCTTTTTAACTTTTTCTTTTTTTTTCTTCTTTTTATTTCTTATTTATTTTCTTCTTTTATTTCTTTCTCGTTCTTTCCTTTTTTTCTTTCTCAATATCCCTTGCTATTTCCCTTCCTCATTAGGTATCCGTTACTGTCTTTCAAAACATCTCTTTTTCACTTATTCCTTGTCTTTCTATTTTTTGTTTTAAACAATTTCTGCCTCCCTCACATATCATCTCACATTTTCAATCGACCCATTTCAACCTTTCCCCTTTGCTTTCTTGTTCGACATTTAATTCTATCTGCATTTTCTGTTCCACATCATTTCTTCCTAACGACTTTCGTATTTGTTTCATCTGTTGCAGCCATGACAGACGACTTGAAATGGAAGAGAGTTTCGTTACTTTTGATGCATCTTGAGTAGTTTTTTTAAATACTTTGTCGGATCATCTTTCCTACTGTACAACTTTCATTTATTATAGAACTTCTAACTGAATGGCACACATAAAATTATTCCGGGGGACTAAGTTAATATATATATATATATATATATATATATATATATATATATATTTGAGAATATTTTCATTTAAAAAGTCACAGTGAGAAAAGCAAAACAAAATTAAATTAAACTATAATTAGAAACTAGGTAAAAAGATTAGTTACATAAAATAATCTTTAAAAATTGAGTTAATTATTGCAAAAAGACATTTTAAAACGATTTACGAATTACTTGTCTTGATAAGCTGAAATAAATAGATTGATAAAGACTAAAATAAAACAGCGAGAGATTAAGAAAGGAAGTGAAATAGAAGCAGGGAAAGAAAGTCAAAACTAAAAGAAAAGATTCGAGTATCATTTTCTCCTTGAATATATATGTATATATGTATATTCTAGATATACTAGAAAAACGGTAACGTCGCCTGAAGATCGCGAGAGCGTGAAACTCGAATAACGATTCTGAATGCCCTTTCGTAAAGTATTCACGTAGTTTTTTTTATGTCTAGTTCAGTGGTTCTTAAACACAAATACTGGAAAATGGATAAGAATCATTGGTGCAGATCATCTGGATGTTAATGATTTTATTGAATAGGTACGTGTTTGCCTTTTGGTCTTTCTTTTTTCTTTCCTTGTTCGGGATTTTTTTTGTCCAAGTTGTTAGGACCTCTGTCAAGTTGTCTGTTAGTAGCACCAACATAATTGCTTTTTCTTTTTAAACACAGCATCATATGCACCTTTTAACTGTAACGGCCAAACTAATGTCGGAAAAAAAAACTTCCTAAAATTAATCCATAAGAATCTTAACCATTCACCAGAATTTAAAAAAAAAATTAACAAAAATAATGTCAAAATTAATTATAGTTGCACTACACAACAACATCATATTAAGTAAACATCATTTCAACAAAGCAAAGTTTTCAAAAAAAAAAATGCAGTTGTCGAAATATATGATCTGTCCATGAAACGGTCAATGTATGACCGAAAATGTTGTATACCAAGCGTGCATTCGTCCCGTTATCGATGTTAAATCTTATTTTGGTTCTACTGGGAATCCTTGGAATCATCGGTTCTACCATCACCGTATGACTTTGGCTAATATTAAATAAACAGCAATGCTCTCTCTAATTATTTCTGACAATTGAAAGATTTCGGCAATTCACCTTCAGTTAAATGGAATATGATGGCAAGGGCTAAACCGTCTAATGGCAAGGGGAAAAATGCAACATGTGTTTAGCTGAAAAATTAAATACCTTACAACATTTAAATAACCCGGGCTTACTAAATAAATAAATAAATAAAAAACTGATTGTCATATGTAGGCATAAAAATAAATATCTACTTAAGCACGTATATCCAGATTAATTTTTCTATACTATCGCAGTTTATTTCTCAGTGTAGGATATTTTTATTTATATATTTGCTAATTAACTTATTTATTTATTTACTATTTTTTAGTTATTATGCGTTATTACTTATTAGTTCTTTAATAGAGATTTTTTATTTTATTTTATTTTTTATAGATTTTTATGGCTTTTTAAGCCATTATATTTATACATATTTATTTTTATATATTTATTTATATTTTTATTAATTTATTTTTATATTCGAAAACTTATATTAAATTAGATTAAGTTAGTTCCTTTTATTATATAAATAATTAATAATTTATGATTGATAAATTAACGATTACTTATCTTTTATATTCATATGGCAATACCGGTTATTTTATTTACTAGATTTAATATCATGAGAAATATAATTAATTTTTTAAAAAAACTTTTTGAAAAAAAATTATATCACGATATAAATAGTGCTTAGCTAAGCAAAAGTTACGATAAACTGATATATTTTCAAATTATATACAAGTAACGACCAGCATGCACTCTGCACCTGAATACTGCGTTTAATATGAAACTGCAAGATATATATAATATATATATATATATATATATATATATATATATTATTATTATTATTATTATTATTATTATTATTATTTTCTTTGATTTCTGGCGTTTACATTTCTTTCCGGGTCCCGCTTAGGGACCTAAGGTTAGAAATGGCATCATGACACTTTCCACAAAAAAAAAAAAAAAAAAAAAAAAAAAATACATAGATAAAGCCCTTCGTAAAGTGTGGGCTGTACTTGTTGGAACAATTTTTTGTATCTCCTTGAGGCATGGACTTCCAGGAATCCCTTCAATTAGTCTACTGCAATCTTTTCCAACCAGTCCTAGGGCTCCAACTACAACAGGGATTGTTGATGTTCCCATATGCCACATTTTCGAGATTTCTATTTCAAGGTCCTTTATTATTATTATTATCATCATTATTATTATTATTATTATTATTATTATTAATTAATTAATATCAAACACTTAATATTCTTTAATTATTAATAAATTTGCTGTCTTTTGATATAGAGCTCTCCTGGCTATATATTCTCCTGGAAATTCCATACGGATTATCATATTTTATCATTACTATATATATATATATATATATATATATATATATATATATATATATATATATATATATCCTTACCTCGTACTTTCTAGCCGCAAAGAAATGAAAACCAGGAAGAACTAATTGAGATTCATTTCTTTCAGTCTTTTTTCTGTATACTTTACTCTTTCGTTCTCCTCAGCTATCTATCTAAAATAAAATAAAAATGTTCAGCATATATGTTCCGATTTTACAATCAACTTTTATTCCTGAATTAATCAGTCAAAATAGGAACGCTGAATATCTGTAGATTTCTGCCATCGTGTTAAAAGTTTATGTCTTTACGATGAACCTATAAAGGTTTGGACAACAAAAAAATCTTTGAATGCAGTTTCTGCATCTTCTTTGCACCGGAACGCCATTTGTCAAGATGCTTGAAAAAGTAGTATTCAGGTTATTTAAAGCCAAAAAATATTTAGATTGTAAGATGTTTTTTTGAGATAATAATGATTTAGTGATAAAAATCTTACTAATTAACCTATAGCTGCGGGAGACGAGGTTTGTTCATACCTTTCTCAATGGTAGTTGCGCGAACCCAGCTGGAATTGGAACTCGGCTCTCCGATTAACAATTCTGAGGTATTATCCAGTACACCACCCGAACACCTAAGCGTACAGCTCCTGGTATTCTCAAGTGGCCATTTTCTCCTATCGCACTTCTCGTGTGGAAATCTCTTCAACTTGAGCCATGATTTTAAAAGAGTGTTAAAACTAAGGACGCTTAAGAAAAGAGTTTACTATTGAGCAGGATATATAAAAACTAGTGTTTTGTGACTACAGGACCCTTGCCTGTTTTCTGATTTATAAATATTGCAATGCAACTCAGCTTATTTGGCAAATAGAAAGTTCTGATATATAGTATTTCACATAATAAAAACCTGTGCATCATATGTCATGTACGGAGCGTAGAGTTAAAAAAAACTTATGATTTGGACGATTTTATTATGTGAAACTCTATATATCAGTACATTCTATTTGTCAGATAAGCTAATTTTTGAAGATCAAAGTTCACTGGGAAGCTTTTTGCTTCCCAATGAACTTTGATCTTCAAAAATTTAAATGCAATAACAATCGTTATCTTGTGTCTTTTTAATTCCTGTTCTTTTATTGTTCTCTCTGTTTCATAGTGTTTTTTCTCATATTCTTTAAGACTCAGTAACTCCTTGCGTCTTAGGGGCTTTATTGCCTTAGAATGAAATTATTAAAAAATAAATAAATAAAGGTATATTTGTAGTTCAAATTTATTCTTAATTGGCACGTATAATTAATAGTGAGAACGATACATTCGTTATTATACTTGATTACCAAAAACGGAAATTACTTCTTACTGAAACTGATAGCTTTGGGAAGAAGATTTTCTCTCTGAGTTTCCCATGCTCGAACCAACCCGTCATGTTGAGGTTGTAGTAATAGAGCATCAAAAAAAAAACGTGAGCTTGTCGATTAACAGCGATTTTTTTCATCCTCATCTTGAAAATCTAAATTTGAGTGGCTGTCTACGTGAGAGATTGATCCGTCCTCTTAAGCTTGGTAATATACAAAATAAGAACGAACATAGTTTTACTCAAGTGGAACACGTCTCAACACATCCGAACACGTTGACTTCATAAAGATACTTAACCCTTTGTCGCTTTTTTTTGTGTATACTATCCAAACGTTCAAGTTTGTTTTCAGATTTATTACTATTGTAAAGAAACTCAGCTTATCTGACAAATAGAATGTGCTGATATATAGAGTTTCACATAATAAAATCGTCCAAGTTTTTTTTTACTCTACGCTCCGTACATGACATATGATGCACGGGTTTTTATTATGTGAAATACTATATATCAGAACTTTCTATTTGCCAAATAAGCTGAGTTGCATTGCAATATTTATAAATCAGAAAACAGGCAAGGGTCCTGTAGTCACAAAATACTAGATTTTATATATCCTGCTCAATAGTAAACTCTTTTCTTAAGCGTCCTTAGTTTTAACACTCCTTTAAAATCATGGCTCAAGTTGCACCACATATGATGCACGGGCGTGGAAATCCCATTTCCTGTTCATCACATAGGATGCACATAGGATGCAGAGGGCAGCAACTTGTGGGAAGAAACTATTTGAATGGAACTTGCATTTCACCAATGAAATTCGAAGGGAATGATGGTGGTTCGTTACAATATACGTAGCATAATTATATCAAGCTCGCTCGCGTTTACAGCTAAAAGTTCATATTATTTTATAATGAATTGTGCCGTCAAAAAATGTCGCATAATTTTTCGTAATTTTGCAATTAATTTATAATTTCAAAATATCATAAACATTCCTTGCATTATCTCCTTCCTTTCTGGCATGAGGAGTTATCATTATTTACATGCGGTCAAGCATGTAAATAATGATAATAATAATAATCATTTTTTTTGTTGTTGTTGTT